GTTTGCATAAGTAGGCTATATTTTTCGTTTAGTTTATTTAATAAGTTAATTTCAGGACAACTTTGGGAATTGTGTTTGTTTGTTATGAGTTTTGAATAGATNTAGATAAAAAAAGTTTAGCGAGGTCCGGTTACACATAATTATGTTGAGCGAAAATAGCGGAAGGATACAAAACAAACAATCCAGACGAGGCTGGTGTTTGCCACGTGTGACGTCACACAGCTGGGTTAATGGCTGGCAAGCTTTTCGCTACCGGAGCGGAATAACACGGGAAAGTGGCACGCATTTCATGTTATTTGGGGGGTATTTATGGAAAGAATCATTGATGTTGATATGTCAAATGAAACAGTGGAAAGTGATGAAGCGATTTATTAACACAGAATAACGTTTATTTTGGACATTTCATGGACTTTAAGTGAGATGTGGTTAAGGTTTTGTAAGATACAAACTGTGATCCTAATAGCGTGGTTTCTGGCCCATGTTTTGGAGTTGTTTTGGCAATTAAGCTTAAATGACCAACTGTACAACCTGGTTTAAAGCCAATACAAACCTTAAAATGTCATGGTGCATGCTTTTTTAAACAGTGCTGCCACTGTAAGCAGTTTAACAGAAATACAACTGAATACAACTGTATTCTCTTTTATATAGCATACATGATCCGTAACAGTCCTGGATAAGGTTTTATGTAATCTCTTCTTTACAAGAAAATATATGTAGCAATCACACATATGTATTTAGTGCAGAGGAAGGAATACATTTGAAGGCTTTGGTTTATTTGGAATCACAGAACACCAACTGTATTAGAATGAAAATGGCAAGTACTACAATAAGAGCACCACCCTCAGAAATATCAATGTTCGATTGTCAAAGGTCGCAAAAATCAAAACTCAGCTGTTCTAAGTAACCCAATATTTAATCAATATCTGAACCAGAGAGCCTTTCATTTAATGAGCCTCTCTCAAAGGTTTGATAAAGGCCAAGAGGTCCTGCATTGCTGACACAGGAGGAGCAGTGAACATGTACTGAACCTTTCTGCGAGACG